CTCGCCCACCGCGCAGTGGGAGTCGTTTCTGTCTCTCGGAGGCCCCCACTCCTGCAGGTCTTCCTCGACAGCCTTCCCACCTGTACCTCCTGCCCAGCCCGCTCTGTTTCTCCTCCTGTCACTTACCACCCTCTAAGTACTATTTGTGTATTTGACTAATCGATTTTGGTAACTCTCCCCTCCCTTAGAGAGCTGTGCTGGGAGCCGAGGGTTTGCTCTGATGGGTCAGTGTTGGCCCAGCAGGCACTAGGTTAGCAGTGCACTGACTGACCGGGGAGGAGCTCGGGAGGATTAAGTGAGACGGGTCCCTGTGGTGGGTCGCAGGCGCGCAGGGCTGGCCGGAGGGGCTGGCCTGGGGTCCTGGGGTAGCTCTTCCAGAAGACACGAGTTGCGTTTCAGATCTGTGAGTTTCTCTTAGTTCCAAACACTGGCTTCCTCCTCTTCCTGTTCCTCCCGTGGGAATAATGGGGAGCAAATGAGGAAACCATGGAGACTGATTCTCAGCCTCTCCTAAATCAGGGGAATGAGAAATAGATCTGGAGCCACCCCTCGAGAGGGCAGCTCAAGTCTCCAGGAAGGCAGTAACCACGGACTCTGCTTCAACGGCTGGGAGAGGCCGGGCTCTGATGAAACTGCTGCAAGCCCACCTCAGCCGTGGGCTGCCCTTCGAGTCCCTTCCCCAGGCTCGGGGCTGGCCAGAGAGGCAGGGACGTTTTATGCAGGGCTCCACAGATGGCAGGCGCCCCACACCCGTTGTCTCATTTCTCTGGAAACGGCCCAGTGAAGTGGGCAATGTTACTTTACTCTGTCCACATCACAGAGGAAACTGAGGCTGGGGGAGCTGCCTGTGGCCATAGTGGGGCTTATGCTCACATTGGCTGGGCCCCCCCACTGTGCCTTTTCCGGTGTGTCCCCATTTTAACATTCGCCAGCTAGACACACACCAAGACCTAAACTGCTTCACTTGGTGGCCCCACTCGGACCATCCCACGGCCCTCTAGCAACTGCTGACCTCAAGCAGGCCACTACGCTCTTATCTCTTTTGGCCTCTAGAGATTAGTCTGGTTAAATAACCCTAAACACACTCCCATCGGCATTGTGTCTCCGGGACCTCATCAGAGTTCTTCAAGGGCAGGGACTGACGTCAGGCCCACCGGGCGACAGAGCAAAGGGCTCAGGGGAGGATGAGATTTATGCCGAGGAGCCGAGGAGGGGCTGGACTCGAACCCGGCCCATGCCTTTGCTGCCCTTCTCTCCTCTGCTCCTGGCGGGGTAAAGCAGGGTGAGAACAGAGGCAGACCCACCTGCAGGCCCCATAACGCAATGCAGGTTTAAAATAGGGCTCTTTATCCATTGTCTTGTGGATGTGAAGCTGTGCTTTGAAACTTTGTCAAGTCCAGGGTCGAGCTGCCTGATGCAGAAGGCCCCACGTCAGGGATTCTGGGTGGGAAACAGAGGGGTGGGCTGGCTGCAAAGTCTCTGGTCGGTGTAGGTTCTGGAAAAGAAAGAAAGGAGCCTCCTCTCCTCGTGCTCTTTGGTGCATGAGACAGAGTGTCCACCGTTCTGAGCCCCCTGCTGCCTTCAGCTCCTTACAGGACAGACCCCCACCCTGCCGTCTTTGCAACAGGCAGAGTTCGCACCCGGCATCTCAGATGGTGCTGAGTGGCCAATGTAGAGTCTGGGTGGCTCACTAGCCGCTGTCTAAATTAACAGCTTCTGTGGCTAGACACGCTATGCACGCAAAAGGAGTGTTGCTTGCTCATCTGCTTTAGGACGCAATTTCGTGATTGACCTTTAGCACCAGTTAGCACCTACGGTTTACAAAGTGCTTTCTCACTCCAGGTCTCACTGGATCGCGCTGTGAGGGAAGACGACTATCAGTCATGGTCACCTCCCCTTTAAGGACTGAGGCTGGGACTCAGCTGGGAGGCTGGGACTGGCCTACTCCTCTCCTGGGGGTTTCTCCACATCATTGGAGGCCTTGAAACCAAGGAGTTTGCATTTGAATTGCATTTGATTTTTAATGACTCTTATTTATTTATCACAAATACAACTTTTAGTAGTATGAAATCCAGGTCACAAAGGGAATTAGATTATAAATGTTACTCTCTTCTGTTGCATTAACTTCTCCACATTATGGTTAAGAGGTTGTCAGGGTTCAACTATAGCACCCCTATAGGGAGCCAGGAGGCTCATTCTCATACTCTCTAGAACTTTAGTAAAAACTCAAAGGAAGAGATATATATTTTTTCTTTCCCTAGAATTTTCTCAGTGTTGCCACTAACCGATACTGTTAGCTTTAATTTCATCCATTCGTTTGCTGAAGGCTGCATGTGTTTCAATAACTGAGCTAGGGACACAGTTGGAAGACTCTGTCCAACCCTTTTGTAGAGCACTCCCAGCCTGGGGTGGGGTGGGGGGTGGCAGTGGTGACAGATACACAACAGACAGCCTCAAGGTGATGTGGAGAGAGGTAGGCAGAAGGAGGTCTGGGAACACAAAGGAGGCACCTAATCTAGCCTGGGCATATCAGGGTAGGCTTCCTGGGGGAAGTGACATCTGAGTTTTCTCAAAGGAGAAGAAAGTTAGCCAAGGGAAGGAAAGGAAAGGAGCTGCAGGCAGTAGGAGAGGCTATTGAAAGCACGGGGGCATAAGAACATTGCGTACTTAAAGGAGTGGTTTTATAACCGGTTCCCTGAACAAAATGTCTTTTTGTAATTTTCTTATGTTTCAAGTTCCCAGGCCAGGAAGATGTACTGACCAGAACTTTGTAATTTTCTGTTTCACTGATCCCCTCCCTTTTGGGTTGTTTTTCAGAAAGGGTGGCCCCTCCTTGCAGTAACAGGATAATCACAAGGTTTTACACTACCCAGTTATTCAGATAAGTCAAGATAAGCGGCATTCTGCCACGCCAGGAATCTTACCCAAGGACCTGCTGAGCAACCTATTGCCCACAACTCGCATGTGCGTAAGACCAAAACGATGGCAATATTAACCCCTAGCTCATTATACTACGGAGACGTCCACCCTGGAAGGGGCTTATCTGCCATTTTTTGATCATGCACCGTGCACGCCGGTATGCTTTCTCACCGCGCTGGCGTGCCTTGCACTCCACATTTCGCCTCCAGAAAAACCCTGACCCCACCGGTCAGAGAGGCGAATTTGAGGTATTCCTCCTACCTCCTAGTCGTGTCCTCTGCAATAAATCTTTCTTCCTTGACAATCCTCGTTGTCTCAGTAGTTGGCTTTCTGCGTGGAGAGCAACAGAGAGAACCCTCCTTGCAGGGCCATTCACAGGTGGGGGAGATAGACCTTAAGGAGCACGATGGGAGTGGGGGAAGCTGAGCCCAGCCCTCCACTGGGAGATTTTGTTCCAAATAACATTTATCTTTTAAGAGCAGTTTTAGGTTCACAGCAAAATTGAGCAGAAGGTACGGAGTGTTCCCATAGAGCCCTGCCCCCACCGGAGTCGTACATTTGTGGCGCTGATATATTGTCACCACCCCCTCGGGTAGATTCTGAGCTGGGAAAACGTTCTCATATTACTTTTTACTTCTTCCTGGCTAGGAATCAGAGTTGTTATTAGACAGTGAACGGTGTAGGTTGTTATTTAGCACTTCCCCTGAGAAAATATTCATATAACCTCCACAGAGCCGAGACTATGATGTCTCTTTTTCCACCCTACAGATCTCTAGACCTGGATCAATGCCTTGTCATGGCAGATGCTTGGAAAATTGGGGAGGTGAGGAGAGGAAGGAAGGGGAAAAGAAGGGGAAGGGGAGGTAGGAAGATAGCAACAAGATCTGTTGTGCATTGGAGGAGAATTATTCCGGCAGCAAACAGAGGAGATGGCAGAGGGGTGTGCCTTGCAGTTGGGGACAGTTAGGAGGCTATGGGCATGGTCCAGATGAAAAGTGTAAATGGTGTGAGGTAGGGAGAGTGGTGGGGAAGAGAAGAGGTGAGATCTATGGCCGCAGTGCAGAGTGGGTGCTTGAGGCAGAGAACCACGGGGCGGGGGTTTGGTGCCCAAGCCCAACTCTCGGTCTTCTCTGAATCGCTGCGGTAGGAGGAGGAGTTTGTAACAACTCTGAGGGTTCTAGCTTTGGGAGAGAGAACACAGCAGGGAGGAAGAGTTTGGGAAAGTCGGGGGACATAATCAGGCAAGTCTGATTGAGCTTGATGTATGCGAATTAAGAAAGATGTCAGTGGTTCTTGTTTATTGTTTAAGACGCAAAGGGGAAGAAACAAAAAACAATGAGACATTCATTTTAGTTGGGAGTTAGATAAGAAGCACAGAGTCTCCTGCCTCGGAACAAGAATGATGCTACCATGGGGAGCAGGGGCCCTTTGGAGAGTCTGTCTGCAAGGCCCTTTGTTCGCAGGTGAGCCCAGGTGATGGGGAAGGTGAGAGGTGGAGCACGGGCTTGCCGAAATCACAGAGCAAGCCATCAAGTGGATGCTGGGGATGGAAACCAGCCCTCCCTTTCCCACCTCTGCTTCCAAGTTTCTTCTCTGCACGCCCTAACGAGACCCGGACTTTGCTTCACAGCACATCTCTTAATGGGCTCTGGCGGCGCTAATGCAGCCTCCGTATCTCATTTGTTCCCTGGATAATGAGCTTAGCCTCAAAGCCAAAAGAGAAAGCCCTGATGCTTGTTAAGGGTATGTGCATGGGCTGCCTGTCTGCTCCCCCAAACCTCCAGTCAGACATTGCACCAGCTCAGCAAGGCCATTTGCCTGGCTGCAAATGGCCTTTGGTGACTAATAGAAATCCAACTTTATATTGGCAAGGAAGGCCTTCGGTAAGCAGCGTTAATTTTATTTGCACAGTGGAGTGGAGTGCATCTTTAGCTCCTTTTGGGGAACCTGGCTTATGCTTCCCCAAGAGAGTGCTTCCTGGGGGCTCCCGGACATTGGAAACGCCAGCTGTAATTCAGCTCAGAGGCTCCCTGGTCCAGCGTTTGCACACAGAGCACAGTCTGCCTTTTTGTTCCCCCAGCTTCACAGCTCAGAGAGGACTGTGATGATGGGGCCACCTGAATTCTAATAACACTTCAGGTAGTCATTTGGGCTTGATGCATTTGGCCTGATACAGACAGAACTGCCACAGCTCACAGCAGGGATGGTTCTCTCTGTGCCCCACCCCACCCCAGAGGCCTAGAAATTAAGGCTGTTCTTTTCCATTTGGAGTCCTGGGGTTTGGGTTATTATTGCCAAAAGGCAAAGAAATGAGTTCCTAGAATTATTTGGAGGAAAAATGCACCAGGGAGAAAGCCTGGATGCTTCCAGAAAGCTAGGAGGTGGGTGTCTCTGCAGTGTACTCTGAATGTAAAAACCCAACTAATAGAACATTCTGGGTGGTGAAGGGCTCTTCAGCCCATCTCTACCAGGCGTTTTAGTTGATCTAGGAGGGCAAGGCAGGAAGGATCACTTGAATTTTAGGATTTTACAGCCCTGTGGGGAAAAAAAGCCTGTATCCTTCAGGGGGCTCCAAGACACCTGCTCAGTGAGGATGTCTAGTCCTACACCTCCAGAATAAATTCAGTCCAATTCACATAAAACTGACGATGTGCTACAGTGCCAGGTGGAGGTGAGTAAGACAGGGACAGGGGAAAGGATGCACTCAGTCATGTAGCCACTGACCTGCTGTCTGGGCCTCACCCCAGAGGGCTGCAGCCACAGAAAGACTTTCCCCCAGTTAAAGCCCAAGGCCTTACCAGGGGAAGGCCAAGGCCGAGAAGAAATCTTCTGGAGAAGGACCTGGACTACAAGGCTGTGCTTCATGCCAGGATCTGGCATTTTCTGTTTTCCTGAACAGGTAAGTGTGGAACATGGGCAGAGACAGCTCATACAGTCGTGTATGTTGTCCACTGTGCAAGAGCATCCAGGTGAGGGGAGGAGTAGCAGCTAGAACCCAACCTGCCTTTGGCTCACACCCATGGGGCTGTGTCTATCCAGAAGGGGCGCCCTTCTCTGAGTCACACAGAGAGATCCCGTGGGCTAGCTGGGGCCCTTGACACGAGAATGAAACACCCCAAGAAAGGATCAGCAAGATGTGGGTGGGTGGTCGGAACAGGGTGCAGATAGGACAGAAGATACCGCTTCTCCACACTGTCTACCTGGTCTTCATGCTTTAGAAGGGAATCACAGGAACTGATACCAAAACTCACTCTATTACATTCCTGTGTGTTGTATACATCCATGGCAAAGTTACCCAGTGCGTAAATTCTAACTGTGTCTCCTACAGAAGTTGGGTTCAGTCATTCCCAACGAACCCCTGCAGGTGTTGTGAGAGACAGACCTCTGCGTGGGGCTCGTCCTGGCGGCTGGAGTCAAGGCTACGGTGTCCAGACTGGCCAAAGCCAACAAGCAGCCCTCTTTGCCCTTCTGCAGCTGTGCTACCCAAATACAGTCCATGTTACTCTTTTTAATATTTCAGCCCTCTATTTTTTTCTTTAAATGCATGATTTAATTTTGTATATCACTTTTTTTTCACTTGCCATTAATACATGCTAAGCATTTTCCATAATGCCACATACGTTCCACACTGTCATGGTAAGCATGGCCGTATATGTCCCACAGCGCAGCGGTGCTCTGTGGTCTGGTTAAAAATATCAAGTGGTTTGCTCAACAGAGAAGTGTCACCTGGAGGGAAGTGTCCAGTGGTGGGCAGAAGTTCAGCTCTGTCCTGTTTGACACTTTTGCCGATAGACAAGGTGAGGGTGTAGTGTGCAGATGTGCAAAAGGCGCAGCTGGAAAGGGAATGCGGAGTTTGGACAAAGGAATCCCAGCTGCGGGAGTTTGCCCGGCAACTCCCTCCCTGGGCCCTTCTAGCTACCCCACCCGTGTGGGCTTCGCTCAGCACCCGTGACCTCAGCACCGCCCCGTCCTGCCCCAGCAGGCAGCGACTTGTGCAAGATGGGGAGGAGACCCGGGCTGGGCCAGAGAAACTGCCCGACGATTTCGGAATTGGCACTTAGAGATTCCAAGCATCTCCAGGGGGCTCGAGTCCAGCACATCAGCTTGAGAAATTGTGGCCGGGTTTTGTCTGGAGTAGAGGAACCTGGTTGGGAGAGAGACTCAGTGAGAAGGAAGGTGCAGAGAGAAGTGAGAGAAAAGAGTGACAGCGAGAATCCTGCTTCATTTGTTCCTGAGCCCGGTCACATTTATGCCCCCACGTTTTAGAGAGTCCCGGATCGTGATGATAAAATCCCCTGTGGCTGAACAGGCGTCTGCTGACTACAGCCGAGAAGGTCCTGGTCGGGTCAGCAGGCAGGAGACCTGAAGTCCTGGCTTTTAGGTGACTCAGAGTTCAGTAGATGAAACGGGCTGCGGAGCATCAAGCCCCAAATCAGGGAAGACGGTATTTAGGTGACCCTTGTAGAGAGAGTCATGGGTGGGCTTGCGTGGCGAGCTGGTTGGAGTCCCTTGGTTCAGAGTCCATGGGCAAAGAGGAAAGGAATTTCCTAGAAATTAAGCCTCTGAAGATTCCACAGCCTCACTCCCAGAGAGTGGTCTCCGGCCAGCAGCACAGGCGTCACCAGGGCCTCGTACACACATGTGCACACGCCCTTGCACATACTCCTTGCACTTGTTCACTCCCTGTGTGCATGCATGCCCTCACAGCTGCGCACACACACATGCCCTTACACAAACACATACATGTGCACACGCTCACACGCAAACATACTCAGAGGCAGGTGCGTGGTGGCTTTCTCCCCAAGGCTCAGGCTTGGTCTGAGGAAGTTGCAGAGCCCCTGGCAGGTGAGCAGAGCTGGGCTGGCCTGAGGCCCTGGTGCGTGGGCCCAGCGGAGCTCCAGGGTGTGCCCCAGGCTGGACTTGTCAGAAGATCGGAGCAGCCAGCAGTGGCGCAGGGCTGCAGGGCAGCCGTGGGCCACACCAGTGAGATCTGCCCCAGCGAGATCTGCCCCAGCGAGGTCTGCCCCAGCCATCTCCAGCCCGTCACGGCCCCCCTGGCCGCCTGCTCCCCCTTCCTGCAGCAGGGCCGGGACTCACTGCCCCGCCCCCTACCCCGGGCTCGCTCCACCTCCCACTCATTTCCCAGCACTATCCGTGGAAAATCTTTTAAAGTGAGGCTTAGGTCGTATCACTCCCCTGCTTGAAACTCAACAGCACCCCATTATCCTCAACAAGAGAGCACACATCCTGCAGCCTGGCATTTCAGAATAACACGTTGTCAAGCACTGACCTAAGTGCTGTTGCGTGCACAGTCGACCCTCGAGCACACGGGTGTGAACTGTGTGTGTCCATTTATACGCAGATTTTTTCCATAAAAGCGACACCAGTGTGCTCGCCTCTCCTGCCTCCCCTTCCACCTCCTCCACGACCCTGGACAGCACGACCAACCCTCCTCAGCCTACTCAAGGTGCAGACAATGAGGATGAAGACCTCTATGATGATCCACTTCCAGTTAATGAACAGTGAATACGTTTAATATTTCCCCTTCCTGATGATTTTCTTAACATTTTATTTTCTCTAGCTTACTTTATTGTAAGAATATAGTATGTAACACACAAAATATGTGTCAATGGACTGTTTGTGTTGTTGGTATGGCTGCCGGTCAACAGTAGGCCATTAGTAGTTAAGTTTTGGGAACCTCAAAAGTTATACATGGGCCGGGCGCGGTGGCTCACGCCTGTAATCCTAGCTCTCTGGGAGGCCGAGGCGGGAGGATCACTCAAGGTCAGGAGTTCGAAACCAGCCTGAACAAGAGCGAGACCCCATCTCTATTATAAATATAAATAAATTAATTGGTCAACTAAAAATATATAGAAGAATTTAGCCGGGCATGATGGCACGTGCCTGTAGTCCCAGCTACTCGGAGGCTGAGGCAGGAGGATTGCTTGAGCCCAGGAGTTTGAGGTTGCTGTGAGCTAGATTGACGCCACAGCACTCACTCATAGCCTGGGCAGCAAAGTGAGACTCTGTCTCAAAAAAAAAAAAAAAGAAAAAAAGAAAGTTATACATGGATTTTTGACTATGCAGGTGGAAAGTTGGTACCCCCACACCCTGGGATTGTTCAAGGGTCAACTGTATTAGCTTCTTCACCCTCACAACCACCACCTTGAAGTAGGTACTATTATTATTTTCCCCATTGTACAGGTGAAGAAACTGAGGCATGGGGACGTGGCCAATACTTACCCTATACGACAGCTAATGAGGGGCAAAGCCAAGTTCAAAGCCAGGCAGTCTGACATCTCAGCCCACAGTCTTGCATCTGGAACCAGTGCATCAGGCTCACCCAGGAGCTGATTAGAAATGCAGAGGCTCAGGCCCCTCCGCAGAACAACTGAGTCAGGAGGAGCCCGGTGAGCAGTCGTAGCAGCCCTGCTAAGGCTTCAGAGCCCGAGTGCCTCACTGTCCCCCTGGCTCAGCCCTGTCAGCCTCAGGCCTTTGCCCCTGCAATCCTTCAGCCTGGCACTCTCGCCTCTGGTGTGTGGACCCTGCAAGCCACCCCCTGCCTCCACGAGCAGCTCCCGCGTCACCTCCTCCTCTGGCAGCCGGGTCTGCGGTGCCCCATCCCCTGGGGAAGGATCAGTCCCTCCAGCCCTGGAGCTCTCAACGCAGGCCATGCCTCAGCTGTGGTTCTGACCCTGCGGAAGGTATTAGTGAGTTGGGCTCAACTAATTCCCCTTTTTGTGTGCCCACAGGCGTGAGTGCACATGCCTTGTGCTCCTGTGTGCCACAGCTGGCCTCTGAGGCCCAGCCCTTGTACCTGTCCAGCCAGGGCCCCTACCCCTTCCCACCTCCTGGAATCCAGCTCTGAGGCCTCTCATTCCCACACTGCCCTTCGAGCTGGAGCCTTGCCTGCTCCGAGCAAGCCCTTGAGCTCAGAGCTGGATGCGTCATCACTCACCAGCCTGCAGACGGCTGGCGGCCTTGCCTTTTCCTTTCCTTTGGTCACTTTCCGCTTTGATCTATGGCCCCGTTAGCAGCAAAGGGCAAGGAGGGGCCTCCCAGCAGAGATGGCTGGTGCCCTCTGTCACTGGCCACCCCTCCCTGGCCCCAGCGCCTGGCCCTGCTGGCCGAGGGTGTTGGGGAGGACTCAGCCTGGCAGCGGCGGGCAGCAGAGGGCCCAGTGCGGGAGCAGGCGGGAGAAGAGCAGAGGCTTTGGGGGCCGAACCCTGTGACTTCCCTCCTCCGCACTCCAGTTTCCTCCTCGTCAGCCGGGGAGAGAGACACGCAGCCCGCGAGGCTGTCAGGAAGGTGAGAGGAAATGCTGCATGCCGGAAGTAAGCGCTCGGCCAACGGCCCACAGACGGAATTCTGGACCATCAGAACTGCAAAGTCTGCAAGGAAGCGTTAGCAGACAGGGAAACTGAGGCCCGCGCCAGGTCACGTGGCCAGCTGTCAGTAGAACCGAGACTAAACTTCCTTTGTCCTGATGTCTTGTCCGTGGCCCTGTGTGCAGCTCCCGTCCTTTGGGCGGGGATGGGACCCGGGGGTGCCCAGAAGACCCTGTGGCTCTTGAGGGCCAGAGCTCGTGCCCTGCGGTGACTGTGCATCCTCGGGGAGAACTCGGCGAAGAAAGATGGCTCGAGAGCGGCCCCCTTCAGCCGCTGCTGGGCCGGGACTTCCTAGGAGAGTGGGCCGCAGCTGGGCCACTTAACGGCTGCTGGGGAAGTGAGAGAGAAGGAGCTGCCATCCCTGCCTCTGACAAACACAGGAGAGGTGCACCTGTCCTCTGCCCTCTGCCCGAGCGACAGGCAGGCAGACAGGCAGGCAGACAGGCAGACAGACAGACAGACAGACAGGCAGACAGACAGGCAGACGCGCAAACTGAACCACAAGCCCAAAGGGCGCAGGCAGATGGATACACAAACCCGCACAGAGGACACGCGGCACGACGCACATTTAGTCGTCGCTGGTGGCCCCCTGACCCCACAGACCCTCACAGACGCTCAGGGACTCGGGTGAAGTGTTGGTGCTTTCAACACCTGCGCCCACAGGCACGCACACACACCTGTGCACACCCACACGCTGTCACTCTGGCCGCGGTAGGGGCAGGCACGTGAGTACGCACTGGTCTTGGCCTGAGCAGTGCGTGGGTGTCCCCTCCACCCAAATGGGAAGCCAGAGAGCAGGGGACAGGCCAAGCACAGTGGTCCTGCGTGGGGGTGGTGGACGTTGCCATGGAGACGAGAGCGGAGCGGAGACAGTGGCGCAGGGAGGCAGGCTGTGTGGGCGGCCAGGGCCTGCAGATCCACGGATCTCGGGGAGGGGTGGAGGCTCCAGGCTGGCAGACGGGCTCCTGGGGTGGGGGTAGGGGTGGGGGCCAAGGTGCTCTGGGATGACAAGACCAGCTGCTGTGTCACCGGCCTGGGCACAGGTCATGAGCTTGTAGTCTAGGCTGGTGGCATAAAGCTGGACTGTGGGGCCTCTGCCTCCCTGTCAGTGCCATCAGTGCCACCCACCCCACCCCTCCCCACCACGGCCACGCTGGGCTCACAGCCAGCTCAGAGCCCGGCAGGGAGGGCCGGCAGAGGCTTGGATGCGAAAGCAATAGCTGGTCGGGGCAAACAGCAAAGCAGTGCGTGTCTGGATCTCCCCACCTCTCGCTCCCACCTTCCCTCCTCGCCTCTTCCTCGAAGTCCAGGGCAGTGAGGGTCACACAGGATTAGGAGTCGAACAACAGATCAGGATGCCAGCTCCTCGACCAACCCTGGGCCCGTGAGCAACCTACTCTGTGTTGCAGAGCCTTAGTCTTCCCAGCTGCGAGATGGGACGGAGGACATTGACCTACTCACCTTCGGAGCTGCGGAGATCAAACGGCGCTCAATATATTCGCTTTGGGGGCCGAACGGAATGCCTACTCCGTGCCGGGTGTTGTGGACCCCATGGAATACGGAGTGAACGAGGCGGGGTCCCTGTCCTCGAGGGTATTAGTAACGGAATACAGGATGGCACGGATGAACGCGATCCGCAGCCTATTCAAACAGCTCCTGTGCGCACCTGCCAGGTACAAGCCCAGGGGCCACAGCCAGCCACGTGCAGCAGCAGCTGCGCAGGTGCTATGTGGGACCCCGTCCGCTGAGGGAAAGAATGGCCTTTTCCTGAGCTGCCTTCAAATGCATCCTGACCCACTTATCCTCCTAACAAGGCTGGAGGTGTCAGTTGTTCTCTCCGTTTTACAGGTGAGAAACTAGGGTTCAGAAAGAATACACAACCGTCACAAGTGCAAACTTGCCCCTGGAGAGGGGCTGGGATTCCACTCCCCTCTGGCAGGCCCCAGAGTCCCTGCTCTTGGTCACTGAGCTCGACAGCCTCCCCCGCCTCCCCCTTCCCTGTGTCCTTCCCACCCCACTCTGGGGGCTCCCCTGCTCCCCTGCTCCCTCCTCTGTCCCCGGCTGGGCTGTGCCCTGCCAGCTACTCAGCCTCCACCTGCCCCATTCCCTCCTCCTCAACCCTCTCAACACACAGTGAGCACCTCATGTCCAGGGACAGGGACAGACAGCACAGTGTCACAGAGCCTGCCTCTTCCACTCACCCACTGTGTGTCCTGGGAAAGGCCAGAGGCCTCTCTGAGCTTTGTTCCTGGAGTCTCAGCCCAGGGCCCAGAGGGCTCCAGTGGGACCGGGCCATGGGTGGGCTGGCAGGCTCTGAGGACTGAGACCTTGCCCTTCTCCAGAGAAGCCCTGCCCCTCCCCAGCTTCTCCAAGTGGCCCCCTGAGACCCCCCCCCCCACTCTGGGCCCTGTGCACGGGGAGGAGGGAGGGAAGGTGCAGTCACCTGGGTCTGCAGGGGGCTGGCAGATGGCAGAGGGGACCAGCCTGGGCAGGGAGTGGGCATCTTGCGTCTGCCCCTCCCTGCGCTTGACTCCCCCCGTGCTGAGAGCCCGGGCATGTGGGGAGGGGGCTGCACCGGTGGGGGCATCCCCTCCTCACCAGGCCGTGGGCACGACTTTACACAGTGCGGCTTCCAGAAACCCAGCTAGAAGGGCGCGCTCTGGGCTCAGAGGCCATGGGGAAGCGTGGGAGGAGGAGGCAGTACCCACCGCTCGTCTGGCATCTCTCGAGGTTGCTGTGGAAATGTTTGCTCTGGCAGGAGAAAAAAAAAATCTGTTTCCATGGCAACCCAATATCTTCCCGTCCGAGTCTTCATCGGGAAAACAGTCTCGAAATCCTAGGGATGTGTGGCTGCCCAAACTTAGGAGCGGCTTCCTGGGTCCAGGCCCTGAGGCAGCCAACAACCCTCCCAGCCTACGTTCACTCACTCGCTCAACAAACACTGGACTCCACGCCAGGCACTGTGCTGGGCCCTGGGGATGCAGAAATTCATCTAACTCGGTCCCAGAACTCAAGGGGCTCCTAGCGTGGTGGGGAGACAGGTGTGTAAATGTGAGAATTCTGAGGGGGTGAGAGCTCTGGCGGGGAAGTGGAGGCAGACAGCGGGGTGAGGAGGGCTGCCTGGAGGAGGCCTCCTTTGGCTGCGTCTTCAGGCTCTTCCAGATCCTGGAAGCCCTTAGAGACCATGTAGCCCAACCCCTTGTCTGGCCTCCCACCCATCTCGCGGATGAGAACACTGAGGTCCAGAGAGGGTCAAGATTTGCCAAGGCACAAGGAAGTGAGCGGCAGTGCACTGGCAGGGTTAATATCCATAAAATGAAAGGCGATTTTATGTCTGACCTGAATAAATAATTTATTTCTGGATTTTAATCATTTAAAAGCCTCCATTTCATTGGTGTCACATCAAAAATAGAAACTTTCTTCCTTTTTTTCATTCTAGATTTCTTTTTAAAGTGGCAGGCAGGAGCAGAGGCCGCGCGAGGGCCTCTGAAGCGTTTTGTGTGCAGATGCAGCTGTGAGCCTGACCTGCGGCCCAAGTAGCGGCACGTGGCCGTCATCTTGGAGCCTCCGATGCCCCCTCCCCCTCTCCCTTAAGTCAGTCGCCACCTGGTCCCAGACTGGTGGTCAGCGCACTGCTGTACCCGCACGACCCGGCAAGCCCCTCACATCCGCCAGCCTCCCCGCCCTCCACGCTGGAGTTGAGAGAATTCAGCGAGTCAGCATCTGCAGGGGTCTCTGCCCCCAGACCTGCCGCACAGTAGGCCCACAGCGTGTGGCCGGTTCCATCCCCGGGGACAGGAGAAGGGGAAGAGAATCGAATCTCCCAGATGCGTAAGAAGAAAAGGGCTGGCGAGGGAAGGGCGGGCACGCCAGCCCTCTCTCTGCCGTGCGGGTGACCTTGTGGCTTCGCAGGGGTGTCTGTGCTGGGGGCAGGGCAGTTCCCAGCGCACCTGGAGACAAGCCAGGGTGGTCTCTGAAGGGCGACTGCAGCCTTCCCTCAAGCGGAAGCACACGCCTGAGGCCTGCGTGTGGAAACACGGTGTCGGGCCTCCTGTGTGTTTCCTGCTCTACCCTCCCTGGCTGCTCAGAAGTTTTGGATGACTTTCTAAGCTCACACGGACATTCTACTGCTGTGACCTCAACCCCAGTCTGCGCGCTGAGCCCCCAGTGCCACAGGGATCAGAGCGGGGCTCGCCGTCCCGCTGAAGTGCAGGCAGGAGTCCCAGGAAGCCTGGCCAGGCATGGCCTGCAGGGCGCCGCGCATGGCCCCAGCGCGGAGGGCTGGAGGGTGGGATCTGGGCCGCTCACACTTCCTTCCCTACTGCCCCCTGCAAGGAGGGCGGCGTGGCCAACTGCAACTTCTGTGAACTAGCTGAAGGGTGAACCCGGCTGTCCCTTGGCTATTTCACCACCAACGAGCTTCCATTTCTTTCTCCCACCCCAAAGTCTTCCTGTGGGAGTGAGCCGGGTGAGGGACCCCAGGCTGAGAAGTCACTGGGGAGGTGGCACTGCTTCTGCTTCTCCTGGTCCAGGGAGAAGGAGCCGCCTTTGGAGTCTCATTAGCTACCAGCCCGGAGTCACTGTCTCCAGGTCCAGAGTCCGTGCCGGCTGGAAACAGGGTGGAGGGAGGCCGGGCGGGGAGGCCAGAGGCCTGGGCCTGGTTCTGACTCCCCTACAGCAGAATCTGTCCTGGAGGGCGTCTGGGCAGAATGAGGCCCCCAGAGATGTCCACCTCCCAGCCCCAGAACTCAGGAACATGTTGGTTAATTGGCAAAAGGACATTAAAGTCGTGGATGGAATTACGGTTGCTAATCAGTTGACTGCAGGATGCTCATCCGGATGGGCTCCGTGTCATCACGAGGGGCCTCAAAAGTGGGAGAGGGAGCATGGCCGGGCGGTGGGGCAGGTGCAGTTGTGGGCGCTGTGGGCATTGGACGCAGTGGGGAGCAGAGCGGGACCTCACCAGAGAGTCTTGTTTGGCTCTCGTGGTTTTTGTCTGTCTCTACAACGGATACAATGCACTGAGCACATTAACTAGATGGATTTTCATTTCCCTTCAAGTCATGTTCCCTTGCAGTCTCCCGCCTCCAAAGGGAGGAATGAGGTTTATGGCCTCAGGCAAGGAGGCGGAGTTTCCACCCAGTACAGAGGAAGAGTCTTCACTTTGAGACTCGAAGCTCACTTTTTGGGGCAAAGAGAATTTTTAGAGGTTGTCAGATTTTTCTGCAAGGACCTTGGCTGGAGTTAGGAGGTTGTGAGGGGGCAGGAGCTGTTGCCTGGTAACAGAGGCTGCCAGACAGGTGGGCCAGGCCGAGGATGGGTTGGGAGGCACAGCTGGACCTCGGGGTGCCTGTAGCCCCGGTGAGAGCGAAGGAGGTTGTGAGAGGGAAGAACCTTGGACCCAACAGAGCTAAGGGAGAACAGACGTCAGATCTCTGGCCGCAAGTGTCACGCAGGCCGAGCAGGGACAGGCAGACGGGGGCCGAGATCCCAGTGGCCAGAGGAGCCAGCTCACCAGTCCCCTCCCAGCCCATTTCTCTCAGTTTTGGCCCCTGCCCGAACACTGTAGACTCCGGATTTCCAACCCCGGGAGATGCTTGGGAGATGTGAAAGGGAGTGTTGGGAGCCAGAAAAATGGGGTTCCCAGGAGATGACTCAGGCTGCCCCAGAATGTACCTCCGTCACCAGTAAAGTCTGTGAGCGAGTCTGTGCCCGTCCATCGGGATGGAGCTTCCCACGAGGTGCTGGTCAGCAAGCCAGCCCCACAGTGACGCCAGCCCTCTAAAAGGCAGCCAGGACCTCAGCCAGTGCAGGTCCCGCGTTGCCAATACATTACGTGCACTTTGGGCAAGGCAGTTCTTTTCTTGGGGCTTTAATATCCTCATCTGTACAATGAGGTGCAGTGGGTTTTCTACCGGATCTGCAACATCCCAATTTTAAAATCTTAGTCTAATACTGATCTGTTAAAAAAAACACAGAAAACCCAACCTTTTCAATTGGCAAAACCCTCTCCATTAAGTCCTCATAAAATATAAAAAGAAAATTAGCCAGGCGAGCACGGAAATGCTGTTTTTAGGGCAGATTTCCTTTGGGTTATAAATAAGCAGCTCTTAGCGGAAGGGAGCCCCCCACGCTGGACCTGGAGGCCCACAGTGCTTTATCCTTCACACGGACACACAGATTTTTAGCAACCGAGGATGTGACATGCCGGAGGCAGGCAATGTTCCTGTTGATAGCCGTTGCCAAGGTAACAACAGGCCGGGCTGCATGCAGGTAGAAACAGCTGGCTCTTCTTACTCACCTTGGAAATCACCAGGAAGCTGATTACATTTTCTTAGAATCACAGGTGGGAGCCAAGAAACTACTCTTCTTCCCAGGAAACTCACAGCTCAAAGCCACCCTTGCTGCACTGGGAATTGAGAAACCTGGGTTTTCATACCTGTATTGCCGTGACAGTTATACCTTGTTTCATTGCTCTCCACTTCATTGTGCTTAGCAGATATTGTGTTTTTACAAATCGAAGGTCTGTGGCAGCCCTGCACCAAGCAAGACTATCGGCACCATTTTTCCAGTAGCATGCACCAACGCCGTGTCTCTGTGTCACAGTTTGGTAATTCTTGTAATATTTCAAGCTTTTTCATTATTATTATATCTGTCACGGTGATCTGGGATCAGCGAGCTTTGATATTCCGACTATAATTGTTTTGGGGCACCAGAAACTGTGCCCACGTAAGATGGCAAGCCTCACTGCTAGATGTTGTGTGAGTCCCAACCGCTCACCTGCCAGCTGTTCCCCATGTCTCTCCTTGGACCTCCTTGTTCCGTGAGACACAACAGCATCGAAATTAGGCCAGTTAATAACCCTACAATGGCCTCTAAGTGTTCAAGTGGAAGGAAGAGTCGCAGTCTCTCACTTCACATCAGAAGCGAGACATGATCGAGCTTGACGAGGAAGGCACGGCGAAGCTGGGACAGGCTGAAAGCTCAGCCCCTTGCTCCAGTTAGCCGAGCTGCGAGTGCAGAGGAGAAGCTCTTGAAGGAAATGAAGGTGCTGCTCCAGTGAGCACAGGGTGCTTAGAAAGCAAACAGCCATATTGCTGATAGGGAGAACGTTTGAGTGATCTGGGTAGAAGATCCAACCAGCCACAACGTGCCCTTAAGCTAAAACCTAGTCCAGAGCAAGGCCCTAACTCTGCTCAATTCTCTTAAGGCTGAGAGAGGTGAGAAAGCTGCGGAAGCAAAGCCCGAAGCTAACCGAGGTTGCTGCAGGAGGCACGAGGAAAGCAGCCGCCTCCACACCATACAGTGCAAGGGGAGCAGCCAGTGCTGACTCAGTTATCCAGAACATCTCGGTAGCGTCACTGATAACGGCAGCTACGCTACTTATAGGAAATACAGTGTGACGCCACTTCCATGAGAGCAGGCGTAGAATGAATTAAATAACAATTAAATGAAAAAAGATAACCAAAATTACTTAAAAAAAATTTTTTTTTATTTCTTTATTTTTTTCTATTTGGCCAATTAATTTTTTCTATTCTTAGTAGAGACAGGGTCTCACTCTTGCTCAGGCTGGTCTCGAACTCCTGAGCTCAAACGATCCACCCGCCTCAGCCTCCCAGAGTGCTAGGATTACAGGCGTGAGCCACCGCGCCCGGCCATCAAAATTACGTTTAAAGAGGAAAAGAAGGCAGTTGTTCTCTGCTGTGGGCATGGCACCTGCGCAGGGTCCTCGAGGCTGGGCCTGAGTCTTCCCGGGGGCCTGGCGCTCCCCGGCCTCTGCCCAGGGCTGCACAGGGCAAAGGGCCCCTGCTGGGACTCAACCTCAGCCTTGCATTTCTTAGCGTGGGGAGCTCTCTCTCCGCCTTTCTCGTGCTGCCACCTGGCACAGGTAGCGAGGTGTTGATGGGAGGAGGTGGTGCCTTC